ACAGAGACAGCAAGACAGAGACAGTGAGAGAGAGACAGAGACAGCAAGACAGAGAGACAGCAAGACAGAGACAGAGAGGCCTGGAAGCTGCCTCAGGCTCCTCTCTATCTCCCTGTTTAGAGCCTCCTGCCCCTCTGTTCCCGCTTCGTCCCCCACTCTGTCCCTCTCCTCCAACCAAGGACTGTCAGAAGGCCAGGAGGGCCTCAGCCATGGCCTGCCCATGTGGGGCAGTTCCCGCCATGTCTGCCGGCCACCCCACCCCTCCTCCCACCCCCGGGAGTCCTGGCTCCTGGTGCCTGGACACCGTCTGCTCCAGGCTGGGCTGCAGCTGTGGTTACAGGGCAGGTACAAAGCGGACCCTCTGGGAGTAGGCCAGGTCGACAGCGTAGAGGAGCAGGTTGACGTAGGTGAAGATGGCCACTACCAGCTGGCTGTCCCAGGGACAGCGTCCCCAAGGGCAGTCCGCCGGCCGCCAGGGCTCACCGTACTTGGGGTCGAAGCAGAACACGGGCCAGATGACAGCGGCACTGAGGTAGAGGAGCATGGCCACGAAGGTGTACACCACCACCAGGCGGTCAAAGGGGCAGCCCAGGCCACTTGTGTAGCCCATCACGCTCAGGGCCACCACAGCCACCGTGGCCAAGAAGCACAGGCTGTAGACAGCTACGCACCACTGGGTGGCCACGTAGCGCCCGTAGCGGCTGTCGTAGACCAGTGCCCCGAAGATGACGCAGGCCACGAAGGCCTGCACAATCTTGAGAAGGCCTGACACTGTGGCCATGTAGCTGGCCACCTGGCCGGGCCGGGCGCGGGTCAGGGCCACCTCGGTGGCGTAGGCCAGGAAGAGGAGCCCAGCGAAGACACTGGCCGCCAGGCGGAAGTCTCGGGCGGTGCAGCCGGCAGGCTCAGGCGGGCACTGCAGCCGGGTGAAGTACAGTGGGTAGATGACGGCGGCCGTGGCAGTCAGCAGCGTGGCCAGCATGGCAAAGGCGGCCGTGAAGTTGCCCCAGGAGAGGCGCAGGCAGCCATGCAGCCGGGTGAACTCACAGGCCACCACCAGCCCCGAGATGGCGAAGCAGAAGCCCCAGGCGGCCATGCAGAAGGTGCCCTGGACGCCTGCGAAGCCGCCCCTGTGGGCCACGAGGCTGAAGGTGGTGCAGCCAAAGGCCAGCTGCAGCAGGCGAGCCGTGCCCACGGGGGAGGTCACGGCGCCCAGGTGCAGGTAGCCGCCCCCGGGGGGCTCCATGGCGCTGCCCATCGGCGGGCACCTCCCCCTCACACGGCGCCCAGCGGTCCCGCGTCCGTGCGGCGGCAGTGGGTGCCGGCAGCCAGCGGCAGCGGTGACCACGATGACATTGCGGCAGGCTTTCCTGTGTGGGGAGGGCCGCCCCCCCCCCCCCGGCTATAAATAAACGGCAGTGGTCAGAGCCCCGGAATAGGGAAGGCTGCGTGCCTGCCCCTTTCCCGGGGGAACAGCTGAGCCCTGTGTCCCACGCCGCCCGCCGAGCCCGGCCAGGGCCTTTAACCCCTTGTCTGCTGGAGGCCGCCACCGCCGCCTCCTGCAGGAGCTGCGTCTGCCATTCAGTCAGTCTTGGCGGGGGCAGGGGTGCCGGGAGCACAGGCAGCCTGCTGGGCTGCTGGGGCCAAGCCTCAGGGTTGCCCTGCCTCTGTCCTGCTCCCTTCCCTCCCTGTTGTCATTGCCCCTGAGTCACGGGGAGGGGGTTGGGAAGGGGCAGGCAGCAGAGACACTTGCAAAAGTGGCCTCCCTTCTCACAGTCGCGAGGTCCCCCCATCCTTGGGGGGCTGTTTGAGGTTTACTCAGTGTTGGGGGAGCATCGCAGAGCTGTTGTCCCTCCGGGATCTGGAAACACCCAGAACTCAAGCCCCACTACTTTTCAGGAGAAAACATTACTGAAGTAGGAAAGGTGTTTGCAAATGAACCCTTCTGTAGTTAGCTGTTTTCTGAGGATGGTGGTGCCTGCTCAGGCCCTGCCATGTGGGGAAGAGGTGCGGAAAAGCCGCTGCCCTCAGCTGGCACCCACGCCTGGCCCACACACAGCCTGCGGGCCTTCTCACTCAGATCCTGGCACTATTCAAATCCACACGTAAGTTGGAGAGACAGTGAGAGTAGCACCTGTCCCACCTGGAGCGAGTGGGCCCCACCATTCCAGCTGTTTGTTCTGATCACATATTTATGTTTGTGTGATTGTTTACATATTATGCACAATTTATATATTCGTGTGCGTGTCTGTGTGTATGATTCGTGTCTACACAATATGTAATCTGTGCATAGTCATTTATATATTCTATTTGCATATAATCAGTACATTTTATTTATATATAATTTTTATGTTTCTGATACTTTGGATTAATTCACATATATTTCATATATATTTATGTATTGTATATATTCATATTATCTATGACATTTTATGCTTATACTCAAATGTTATATATTTATAAATAATATACTGGCTATAATATATATTTTTTATATATTGTTGTGTGCCTTCGAATCAATTCCAACTCATAGTGACCCCATAGGACAGACTGAACTGCCCCATAGGGTTTTCTGGGTCTCTGTACCAGGAGCCTCTGGTGGATTCTAATAGACCTTTTGGTTAGCAGTCAAGTGCTTAACCGCTGCACCACCAGCACTCCTGTATTTACAGGGACAATCCGTGTGTTACATCCATGTAGCTGTGGAATATGTGTGACATTTGTACACCTACTTATATGTTGTATTTATATATAATTCATGTATAATCAATATATTTATTGTCTATAATGTATATGTAGTTATTTGTATACTGTACATAATTTTATTCATTTGTATGTTAAATAATTTATATATTTAGTTATGTATTATATTTATGAAAGGAGCGCTGGTCGGGCAGTGGGTAAGGCACTTGGCTGCTAACCAGGTCAGCGGTTCAAACCCACCAGCTGTTCCGCAGCTGGAAGATGAGGCAATCTACTTCCATAAACATTTAGAGCCTTGGAAACCCAATGGGTGTCACTGTGAGTTGGAATTGACTCAATGGCCGTGAGTTTGGTTTTTGAGTTTATTATATTTATATATACGATTTACATATTTATTAATATATGTAATTTACAGCTTTATTGAGATATTGTGTTTGTAATTTATGAATATTCATGTTGCTTGTTTATATTTACATATCATATAATATTATTTGTGTATTACGAAATCTTTACATTTATTTTTATATAATTTTATTGGTTTACATATGAAAGGAATCCTGGTGGCATAGTGTTTAAAGAGCTCTGCTGCTTATTGAAGGGTTGGCAGTTCAAATCTACCAGCTGCTCAGTGGGAGAAAGATGAAGCAGTCTGGTTCGTAAAAATTGACAATCTTGAAACCCTGTGGGGCAGTTCCACTCTGTCCTCTAGGGGCACTGTGAGTCAGAATGGACTGCACAGCAGTGGGTGTGGTTTGGGCTTTGCTTTGTGAAGATTGACAGTTTGGAGACTCTGTGGGGCAGTTCCACTCTGTCCTCTAGGGGCGCTGTGGGTCGGAATCGACTCCAGGCAGTGGGTGTGGTTTGGGCTTTGCTTTGTGAAGATTGAGAGCCTTGGAGACCCTGTGGGCAGTTCCACTCTGTCCTCTAGGGGCGCTGTGGGTCAGAATGGACTCCAGGCAGTGGGTGTGGTTT